CATCAAGTTGAAGAAGCCACTGAGGTATTTATTCAATCAGGTGGTATTGATGGCAGCCTGCAGTATCCTACCAAAGTAAGTTGAGATACTGTAAATTCCTTCATATTTCCTGCTCCGGCCACAACTAGAGCTGGCTCTACCATGATTGGCCAAGCCTTGATGACACTGAAGAGGCTTTCCTGCGCCGGCCAATGGGAGAGCATTCCCCGCTCTCGATGTAGATTTCTTCTCTCTAATGAAGGAAGTGGGGCCGGGTGTCCACTGAACAAAGGGTGCTGAAATAGCTCTTGATGGGATTAAGTGGTACCAGCATGGGACAGACAGTGGAACCTAACTGGTTCCAGGAAACTTTTATTGTGACCAAGATGGCAATCCGAGTGAGTCCAGTGCCTTTGGCACTGTTGTCCATTGAGTCCAAGACAGAAATTATTATGTTTGCAGTTTTAATTATTAATAAGTGTGCAACCCCTGCCTGCTTTTGAAATTGTGGCTGTCAGGTGAACAGTAGTCTTCTCCTCAAGAGACATATTCATGTCTCTGTAGCACCTGGGTGTCTGCAAACTGCAGATCCCAGAATTCAGTAGCATTGTGCCACGGCAGTTAAAGTGGCATCAAGGTTCATTCATTATACACTGTAGATCACATGTGTCAAATGTAAGGTCTGTGGGCCAAATCTGGCCATCCGTGTCATTTCATGTGGCCCTCCAGATGCTGGATTACAACTCATGTATTCCTCATCTTTCGACATCATTGGTTGCTATTCATTTTCCAGTCCCAATTCAAGGTGCAGGTTATCACCTACAAAGCCCTGAATGGTTCAGGATCCGCCTACTTTCATGACCGCATTTCCCCTTATGAACCTGCACGATGCTTTCATCTTCAGGGGAGGCCCTCCTCTCGCTCCCACCTGTGTCACAAGCGTGGCTTGTGGAAATGAAGGAGAGGGCCTTCTCTGTGCTGATCCCTCAGCTTTGGAACTCGCTCCCCAGAGAGATTAGGCAAGCACCCACCCTGGCAGCTTTTAGGAAAAGCTTAAAAACTTGGCTTTTCTGGTGCACTTTTGAAGAACGAGTAACTAATTCCCATGTCAGGTCCTGTCTCAGTGTCTTTCTGATGCACTTTATCTCATTCCTCAGTTGAGAATAACCTCATTGTTTATCCCACCTGAGTCTCTGATTAAATACAGCACTTTATCTATCTCACCCACGGGTTTTACAATTTTTACTCCTCGCACTTGGCCCAGCTTGCCCTCATTTAAATTCTTGTACTGTTTTTATATTCTGTTTTATTATGCTATTGTTACTACTTTATTGGCTTATTATGTTATTGTATAAGCACTTTTATTTGATGTTATTGTGTGTCTTGTATGTATTTTATTTTGCTTTATTGTAATTGCTTGGGCTTGGCCCCATGTCAGCTGCCCGAGTTCCTTTGGGGAGATGGAGGCAGGGTACAAATAAAGTTATTATTATTGTTATTAATAATAATAATGATTACAGTGAATGGGATATATCTGAAAGGCTGTAGTTTGTTCTGTTTAGTCAGGAGAGTTTAAATTGAGATCCAGGGCTTGTGGATATGGGTTACAACTCCCATTATCCCCAGTCTTCATAGCAGATAATCAAAAGTGATGCGAGTTGTTGTTTAGTAACACCTGGAGACCCAAATTGGGTAAAAACTAAGCAGCACTGACCACTATATGAAAAAATATAGTTGGCCCTCTGTATCCATGGATTCTCCATCCATGGATTCCACAGCATGAAGGCAACCCTCAAGCTGATGTGGTCCTCAATGAAAATAAGGCCCCTTCTGCACTGCCATATAAAATCCAGATTATCTTCATGAACTGGATTATATGGCAGTGTAGACTCATGGCCCCTTCCACAGAGTGGAATAAAACCCACATTATCTGCTTTGAACTGGAAGCAGCGTGGACTCAGATAACTCTGTTCAAAGCAGGTATTGTGGGATTTTCTGCCCTGATATTCTGCATTATCTGGCTGTGTGGAAGGACCCTGGATTATCTGAGTCCACACTGCCATAGATTCTAGTTCAATGCAGATAATGTGGGGTTTTATTCAGCTTTGTGGAAGGGCCCTGGTGTTTGAGAGGTTTGGGGGTGTAGGGCCTGATGGTTCTGTGGTGCCCAGACAGAGGGGGTGTTGGAGCAAGATGGTTCTCCGGTTGGGAGAACAAAGGGGATTTTGGAGCAAGATGTTGTTTCTGAGTCTGGGAATTAATCTACTTTGGAAGCCCACAGGCAGGGAAGGAAGGATAACATGAGCTAATTCGAAGAAGCAGTTGGCTTAGACAGAGATACCAGGCTGCTCCTGCAGGGGAAGAAATTCAGGTACAAGCAAAGGAGAGGCAGAAGCAGGCCTCTCAAAGTCAAAGGAATGTGTTCATGTTTTGTAGCCCTTAAATGAGAGAGAGAGAGAGAGCTGTTAGGATTCCAGATCAAGCAACATCGCTACTGGAGTGGGAAACTCCTGTCTTGTTCATGGTTCATGCTCTCTAAGCTCAAGGCACAAGATTCCTAGTCACGTTTTGCTTCCTGTTTTAAGGATTTACGCACGGATTCATACTCTTGGTTTGTTCCTTGTTCTCTGGATTAATGTTCAAGTTGTAACTCTTGTTTTTGGATTTACCTATTGCCTATGGGACCTACCTTCTATAGTAACACTTGGATTTTTACCCTATTGGCCCTTTCTTATATTTGTTTTATCAATAGACTCTTTACTACCATGTCTGGTTTCCTGGTGAGTGCTATGAGCAAGGTGAACCCCTACTGCGGTGCCACACCTGGGTCCACACTGTCAAATAATGCAGTTCAATGTGGATTTTATGTAGCTGTGTGGAATAATAATAATAACTTTATTTTTATACCCTGGCTCCATCTCCCCAATAGGACTCAGGGCATCTTACAAAGGGACAAACTCAAAGAGAACAGAGTTAAAACATAACACAGTAAAATCAAATCAAATCAAAACAAAATAAGAACAGTGGGTTGTTGCAGGTTTTTCGGGCTATATGGCCATGTTCTAGTGTTAGAGACCCTAAATCGGTTCTTAATACTTAGGTCCAGGTCACAGGAGCACGTAAGGAAGAAGGCAGTCCCAGGAGAATATCAAAAACAACATTTTATTTTCATAATGGCCATGAGGAAGTCGGACAGCCGTGTTAAGTGCGCGCAGGCACCAACACTTGCAAGTGACTGCCGCACCACTCTTCGGCTTCTTCAAACTTTTATACAGTCAGGTAAACAAAGATATTTTGGTCATGGAAAGTACTTTTACTCTTTCCAGTCCCCCTCCCATTAACCTTTTGATGAACTGTGCCTTCTTGCACCTGGCCTGAACGTCTGGTTGTCAAAACAACAATTTGTTCTCTTTATGCAGATTTTGCGCTTCACCGCAAACCCATTTCCTATGTAAGCTGAGCAGGTTAGCAACTTAATATTTTAGCCACTTAACTCAAGCATAAGCATATACCCTATATGTCACCTCACTCAGGAGGGGTGCAAAACTTCTTCTTTTTTAAGAACATCCTCCCTCTTGCTGACATGTCGCTCTTTCTTTGCAGGGAGGGGTATCTTTCTTTTGTTTTGTTGCCAAAGCTTAGCTATTACAGAAATCACTCATTGTCTCCTTCACTAGAAGCATTCTCTCCTGACGTTTCACCTGCATTGATGGCAGGCATCCTCAGAGGTTATGAGGTCTGTTGGAAACTGGGAAAATTGGGTTTATATGTCTGTGGGATATTCAGGGTGGGAGAACATATAAATAAAAATTTAATGTTCATTTGTTGGATTAACATAACTTAAAAACCACTGGACAAATTGACACCAAATTTGGACACAATACACCTATCAGGCCAACAAGTGACAATCACTCATAAAAACACTGAAAAACATAGCAGAAGAGACTTACAAAGCCACCCCCCCCCAAAAAAAATACATTACAACGCATGCGCAAAATCACATATATCCACAAACACAATATATACACATATACACAAATATATACACAGACATATGCATATATACACACAGAAAACACATATACACAGAATGGGCCACAGCAACGTGTTGCAGGGGACAGCTAGTATCACAATAAAACATAACATCAGAAAAACAATACCATGCTGAGCAATAACAATGATGAGTTAAGAGGGCTCTGAGTGTGTTTAAGGGGTCTTGGAAGTTGTTGTTGTTGTTGTTCATTCATTCAGTCGTCTCCGACTCTTTGTGACTCATGGACCAGCCCACGCCAGAGCTCCCTGTCGGCCGTCACCACCCCCAGCTCCTTCAAGGTCAGTCCAGTCACTTTGAGGATGCCATCCATCCATCTTGCCCTTGGTCGGCCCCTCTTCCTTTTGCCTTCCACTTTCCCCAACATAATTGTCTTCTCTAGGCTTTGCTGTCTCCTCATGATGTGGCCAAAGTACTTCAACTTTGTCTCTAGTATCCTTCCCTCCAGTGAGCAGCCGGGCTTTATTTCCTGGAGGATGGACTGGTTGGATCTTCTCGCGGTCGAGGGCACTCTCAGAAAACATAACATCAGAAAAACAATACCATGCTGAGCAATAACAATGCTGAGTTAACAGAACTCTGAGTGTGTGCAAGGGGCCTTGGCATTTTTTTGTATTGTCAAAAGCGACTTGAGAAACTGCAAGTCACTTCTGGTATGAGAGAATTGGCCGCCTGCAAGGACGTTTCCCAGGGGACGCCTTGGAAATTAAAAGTAGACTTTTCCAGTGTTACTTCCCAGCTCGCCAGTAGGTGGCGCAACAGGACCACACATACGCCCTAGCCTGCCTTCACTCCCCTCCTTCACTACCAAGGACGGCATTGGACAGGTGCCGCCTCTTTTGCGCATGCGCCTGGGGCGGGACGTCAACTAAACACCGTTGGGCGCAACGCCCCGCGATCTAAAAGTAGAGCAGGCGCGTCACTCTTATGCCACTTCCGGCCATCACCCCGCCTCCCCACCAATAGCGGCTGAGGGCGCATGCGCACTGCCTCGCGAGCGGCGAAAGCTGTTTTTCCTCGTTCGCTGATTCGAGACGGAGGAGAGCCTTCCTTCCCTCCTTTTTCCCCCCCTCCTCCTCCCTCTTCTCCTCTTGCCGGCGATGTGGTCGCGCGCGGCGTCGGTCGTGACCCCGGGGTCCCTCGCGCGGGGTTGAGCGCCGGGCCGCGAGTGGGGCGCGCCAAGATGGCGTGTGTGCTGGAGGCGCCGCTCCGCATGAGCGTCCTGTCGGTGAGTCAGTCCCCGGCGGGAAGGAAGGAGGGAAGCGGGGCCGGGTAGGGCGGCCTCAGTTGTGGCCCTGAGCGCCTCAGGAGGAGGCTGAGCAGCCCCTGGCCGGCTCCCTCTCTCCCTCTTTTCTCCCAGCGCCTGTCATTCGCTCCCAGAGAGGCTCCCGCCTTCAGTAGAGCAGTGCACTCTAGGGCAGGCATGGGCAGACTTCGGCCTTCCCTCCAGGCGTTTTGGACTTCAACACCCACCATTCCTAACAACCTCAGGCCCCTTCCTTTCCCCCCTCAGCCGCTTAAGCCATGCTCCAAGTTTAATCTATATAAATAAAAATGTAATGCTCATTTGTGAGATTAACATAACTCAACCATTGGGCGAATTGACACCAAATTTGGATACGATACACGTATCAGGCCAACAAGTGACCATCACTTATTAAAAACACTGGAAAACACAGTGGAAAAAACTTAAAAAGCAAAAAAAAATACATTACAGCGCATGTGCATAACCACATTTATACACCTATACGGAAATACATGCACACATATATACATATATACACATACAAGACGCATATACACAGATTCGGCCACAGAAATGCATGGCAGGGGATGGCTAGTCTCTTATATATGTATTTCTTGAGCCATGAGAGGTGGGTGACTAATAATCATCGTTATTATCATCAACATACTCAGTAGGAATAGTTATATGAACCTATGCATGGAAATACTCACCACAGCTCCTGCCCACCTTTTTTGCATGATTTATGTAGATGTGTGCGTGTGTTTCTGTCTATCACCATGTTCAGCTGTCACAGGGCATTGTGGCAGCAGCCTTACTCTTACTGACCCTAACTTCTTGGTATGTCCATATACACACCAATGTGTATGAGAGAAGATTTTTTTGTTTTGTTTTTAGGCGCATTATCTAGCTTTGTATGTGTTTCAGACAGATTATTTTTATTTGTCTAAAAAAAGAAAAAGCAAACTTTGTAATGTGAACATTTATACTGTAATTTACTTTTAAAATTCAAACTAAAGCTGTCTTTTTCCTGAAACCATCATATCTGTAAGGATAATTATATGAAACCATGCTTGCCCTGTCTTCCTCACAGCTCCTTCCTTTTTGAGTGAATTCTGTCGAAAAGAATGTATGCTTCTCTTTGTAACTTGTGTTCAGCTATCACAGGGAATAGTATCATAGAGTTGGAAGAGACCACAAGGGCCACTCAGTTCAACCCCTTTTTGCCATGCAGGAACATACAATCAAAGCACTCCTGACAGATGGCCATCCAATCTCTGCTTAAAACTTCCCAAAGAAGGAGACTCTGCCAAACTCTGAGACAGCATATTATATGGTTGAAAAGCAGTTACTGGTACTGTCAGAAAGTACCCTTCCATTATATGTCTATCATGCACATTAGACCCCTATTTCCTACAGCTCCTTTGTTTTGGAGTAATTTGTTTGTGTGTTTCTGTGTTTAACATGTGTTCAGCTGTCACAAAGAATGGTGGCCGAAACTCTTCATTTCATTAATCTGGTGGTCTTAGTGAGATAAGATTTTTTTTTGTTTTTCAGCACACTATCTAGCTTTGTATATACATTTTAGGATTGCTCATTTTTTATTTCTTTCTCTACAAAGTGGAAATGCAAACTTGGTAACTTTCTGAATGGGAATAAATTGTGTGCGGTAATTGCGGACGGACGGTTCAGACTAGAGCTTTCCAAACATTAAATGTTGGTGTCACATTTAAGACTTGCATCTTTTTTGTGACACAGTTATTAAGTTTTACTAGCAAACCATAGGTTAAACTAACCCTTACAAGAGATATGGGCACTACATAAATTGTAATGATGAAATGTATATATTTATATTTTTAATTTTTTTGATTTACTGCTTATTTCACATTGACTTGCAGTTTCTCATTTCTGTGTGACACATCTACACTGCAACTAACACACAGTTGGGAAAGCTCTGGTTTAGAATAAGAGAGAATCATAGCATTTGAAAAAAACACAAAGGACAGCCATATCAACTCCCTGCCATGAAGGAACACACAACCAAAGCACTCTGAAAGATGACTATCCAGCCTCTGCTTAAAAACCTCCAGAGAAGGAGACTCCACTACACCCCCAGGCACCATATTCCACTGCCGAACAACTTTCTAATGTTTAGGCGGAATCTCTTTTCCTGCAGTTTAAATGGTGGCAGTAATCCATCATTTTGTTGACCCTGGTTTTTATGAAGATAATTTTTAATTTTTCAGCAAACTGTCCAGCTGTGTTTGAGTTTTTAGACAGTATTTTACTTTTTAAAAAATTCTTTACAAAATGGAAAGCACATTTTGTAACATGTCTTTATTTTCTTCATGGGGTTAAATATAAACTATGAGGCATAGTTAATTACACACATTTTTATGTTTAATACCTTAAAAGTAATTAAAAAGTATCTGCAGTATAATGGAAGTGACTAGATACCAGTCTTTTGTTTTTGACAATTGGGCAGGAAACAAGTACAAGCCCTGCACTGCAATTCTCTTTTCTAGCTTTAGCCAGATAATGCAATGCTTTCCAGTATGATCTCTCTGTATCATATATATGTATATTAGGTTGTATGCCTTTATGAGGCCATATTTGTTTTGTATAGTGCCATGAATATTAACAGTGCCATATAAATAATAATCCTAATAGTGCAATCCTGCCTTGGACCTGATGGCCCTTAGATCTCCTTCTCACTCTATGAATCTGTCCATGCATTCTTATTCCCAAGTAGGTCCATTAATTTCAATAGTGTTTATTCACAGGAAAGTATGTATAGGATTTACTTGCAGGACATTTTTATTCTGTAGCCTTAGCTGATCAGTTCCATGTGTCTATGAGGGCAACATCTGATCTCCCTGTTCAGTTGCTGTTCATCTAGGCTCATAGGAAATGAGCATCTGTAATGTTTTTGGTATCAGCTGCAAACTTGGCAATTTCATTTGCCACAGATTTAATCACTTGAGAAATATATATATTTAAAATAATAACATGGATTTGGTGTCTCTCAGTGTCGCAGAAGGATAATCTCCTAGCTTTGGATAAATCTGTATCCTTTAAGAGGACCTGCCCTTTTACTTACTCGCTGGGCATCTTAAAGAGCTTCCCATAGTTATTTCATCTTGCAAGAAAATACTGGTTAGTGTAGTCTCCATGGTGTAAATCATGACGAATCAATTAGTCTCTTAAGATACTACACACCTTGTTGCTTCAAAGCATTTCTCTTGCCACTTTCTGCCTTACCTATTAGCTTTTTTTGTCAGATGTAGCAATCTTGCCACTTGCTTTTTCTTCTTTGCTCGAGGTTTTTGAAAATATTGTTTTGAATGTGCTACCTTGAACAATCGGATAAAAGCCCTAACAAGTTGTTAAATAGCAGCATGCATGATTTCATATAATTATTCTTACAGGTACCTGTTGGTTGCAGATAAAGAAAAGTTTAGTTTGAATTATAAACAGTACATTACCTACTATTCAAGAAAGGAGCATGTCTAGAAGGGAATGGGTTCATTTAAACCACACAATTGTAGAATACTACATGAAATCCCTAGAAGCAGCATCAGATGATATCAAATGCTAGCTCTATTGACCATCAGTCTTGAGAAGGCATGTGTTTGTTACTTTACTAGAAAAGAAAAAAGTTACCTTGTCTTACATCATTAATTCCTTGGCAAAGAGTTCCAGTTCTTTGAGAAAATAATTTTTGGCCAGCCACTCATATTGAACTGTGAGTTTGTCTTGAATGAATCTGAGATATGATCTGTGTACAAAGAGTTGTGCTTTTATTTTGTTCCAGGGAAACACTCAGGCATTTATCAGGCTCACTGAATGAAAGGGTCAATAATAACATACAGGCTTCTTGACAAACAACTTGTGAACCAGTGCTGTTACTCCCTTGCAATATGCAGCTCTAAGAAGGATGTTGGATGACAGATGATGCTTTCAATTTGTATAGTGCAGGTGTAATGTCCAGTGTAGTTAGCCGGTGTCCCATGTAAATACAATTCGCACTCTGGAAATTACTCAGAATCTTCCAGCAAACACCAAATTCCTTGAAAGCAAACAGTCTGAGAGGAAGTGATCTTATCTGCCTAATAGTGCAATGTTACACATGTTTACTCAGTCATTCTGTTCTGGGGTGTACTCTAAGGTATGTTGCACAGGACTACTGCTGGAGCAAAGATGGAACAGATTCCGTAGTTAATTTATTTATTTATTTATTGCATTTGTTGACCGCCGTTCTCAGCCCTTCCGGGCGACTCACGGCGGTGTACAACATATAAAAACAGTTTACAATATAACCCTCATACAACACAATATACACATAACATCAATAATATAACAATAATTACTCTAAAGCATCCGCGTCGTCTCAGCATAGAATCATAAACCAATCTCGTATTCCATATTCCGTTCCAGTCGTCATTGTCAATTGTTGTAATACTTAATTGAACGCCTGCTCGAATAGCCATGTCTTTAAGCTCTTGCGGAATGACATAAGGGAGGGCGCCTGTCTGATGTCCACAGGGAGGGTGCTCCATAGCCGGGGCGCCACCACCGAGAAGACCACCGTTAAGGATCCAGCAGTATCTTAAATTCAATAAATTTATGTAATTAAGCTTAATGTAAATCTATGCACTGGATCCAGGTCTTGGCATGTATATGAGACATTGTGCAAGTGGACTTCTTTGTCTGTTTGTCCTCATGCTGTCAGCCACCCACATATTTAGGGCTGCAGGATTGCTGAAAAAATGGAAACATCAATATTTGTTACTCCCCCCCCCCCCCCCCGATATCTTGATGTTTAACACCAGCCACCTGCTTTTGCCTTTGGAATGTATGATCATAAGGGCTTTCAAGACCCTGTTCTGGTTCTAGTGTTCCCTAAATTAAAAGCTGAAGCTGGTGGGCTCACCCATCTCTTACACAGCAGATGGTTGGACTGATCATTCACAAGCATGCTCCCTTCACATAGTCTCCTCATCCCATCCCCTTTTTCCCCACCTGAGTAAGTGTACTATAAAGGGAATTCATGCACAGCCCAGTCACTCTGCCAGTTTTTCTCCCAGAGATACTAGTTTATAGAAGTGGTAAAGATGGTGTACGGCAGTAACTGAGACAGGGCAAATAATCCACAATTAATCAACTACAAGAACGTGAAACCTGAAAATGTGGAGGGAGGACTAAAGTAGTTTCTTCAACTCCCTGAAATGCTACATAAATAGTTGGGAGACTACAGTGACTAGAATAGGCTGTATATGTGGAATTGCTGAAAATTGGGAAGTTCCATAAACAGTCAGTCCCTAAGTTACAAACATCCAACTTACAACTCATAGGTTGTCTCATGGGGGTGAGACAACAGAAAGTGAGAGAAATCTACCACCTGAAAGGAAAATTCACTCCTGAAAGAGTTACCATGGGGAAAAGGTGTCTTCACTGAAGCTTTATTTTGAATCCTTGTTTCACAAGAAGCCATTATTTTTTCAAAATCCAATGTTCACAGGGACAGAAAGTGAAGTGAAATCTTCTGAATAGGCGAAGAGTGAATCAAACGCTGCAGGGATGTTAACCCTTTCCTATTCTATCCAAAGCTAAAAATATATGGTTTTTTGGTTGGAATTACAATGTAAAAATATACTTGTTTTGACTTACATACAAATTCAACTTAAGAACAAACCTACAGAACCTATCTTGTTTGTAACTTGAGGACTGCCTGTATTTTTTCATACAGAAGCTGCCTTTGTATGAAAAGGTATCTTCTGTAAATAAATCAAATCTTAGTATTTTTTTTTAAATGATGATGAGAACACTTGATTTAGACCCAAGTTCCCCAAAATTACATTGACTATGTTGAAGCATGCTTCTCCAGTTTCATATCAAAGAGATTTCACTGTCAAGTGAAAACTTTTCCTTTACTTTGAATCCATTGCTCTGTGTTCTAGGCTGCAACTGCACTGTAGAATTAATGTACTGGTAGTTTAACACCATTTTAACTCAATACTATGAAATCCTAGGAACTCTTTGATAGAGAAGGGTAATGACCTTGTAAAACTAAAACTCCCAGGATTCTACAGCATTGAGCCATGGCAATTACAGTTCTGCTAAACTGCATTAATTCTACAGTGTAGATATAACATCAGTCTCTGGAGCAGGTGGAGCAGTAAAACGAACAAACAAAAAGACCAAGCGTGTTCCTTCCTCTATATGACATCTTTTGAAAATTTTCTACATGGTTATCATATTCCCTCCTAACCTTTTCTTCTCCAGGCCAACAATTGCAGAAACTTTGGGGGTTTATTCTGAATTTTTACATTCTTGAGTATTTAATTTTTGTAGCGTTAGATTAACAGATTGTGATGTCTTTCTTTACAGGAAGTCACAGCTAGTAGTCGCCATTATGTTGACAGATTATTTGATCCTGATCCCCAGAAAGTCCTCCAGGGTGTCATGTAAGTAATAGAAATATTTTTCCTATGGTGTTCTTGGGTTCTCTGGGTAAATGTTTGCCATATTTTGCTTTTTGCAATGAATGTGTCCAACTGCCCAGCACTTGTTCTTTTCTGAGGAAGTACTGGGACATGGAATTTACATTCTATCTTTCAGTAATATGTAATGTTAGATAACAGCCTTTTTAATACTTAAGTATCTTTCTGATAGCTTGAATGTCTCTGAAATATTACCTAGACAATGGCTACTGTTTTGCTTTTAAAGCCAGATAGATTTTTATTTCCTTTCTTAACTCATACGAGTACAGCAGCTCTCTATATCCATGGATTGAAATGTCCATGGCTTGAAAATATTCCTTCCACCATCAAAACAAATCCAAGAAGCTAAGCTTGATTTTAAAATAATTTTGAGCATTAATTGTAGCACAATTTTAAGTATAGTAAAACCAAGTAAATCCCAAAAGCTTTAGTGAGGATTCTTGTTTTCACTCAGTATTAAAATAGTAGCAACACTAATGCATCCAAGGGGAAAGTGATCCATAACTGGGGAGTGCCACAGTAAAGAAGGCCTTCCATTGCCTTGACTCATGGGGACACAGAAGAGGGCTCCCATGTGGATTATAAACTTTGAGATCTTAAGCCATTTAGAGCAGTGGTTCTCAACCTGGGGTCCCCAGATGTCTTTGGCCTACAACTCCCAGAAATCCCAGCCAGTTTACCAGCTGTTAGGATTTCTGGGAGTTGAAGGCCAAAACATCTGGGGACCCCAGGTTGAAAACCACTGATTTAGAGGTTTAAATGCTATTTCCAATGCCTTCAGACTGGAAACCTATTTACAGCCATGCTATTCCTTTAAAATTGATTTTATACTGTATAATGTGTGTATGATGTACCAGCTAGCATTCTAATTGTACATAATATCTAGAGCAAATTGAAGTTAACTTAAAATGGGAATGAAAGTTTCTTAGCCTCTTCTTGTAGTCAAGGCTGGACCTTATATTCTCTAGGCTTATATAGATTCATTTTTGTAATACTGTGCTTTACTGTCACAGCCACATTTATTTATTTGTTTACAGTATTTATATTCTGCCCTTCTCACCCTACAGGGGACTCAGGGCAAATTACAATGCACATATACATGGCCTTTAGCCTATAAAGCCCTAAACAGTTCTGGCCCAGGCTACCTGTCCGAACATATCTTTCCCTACGAACCAGCTCGGAGACTAAGATCATCTGGGGTGGCTCTGCTCTCAGTCCTGCCTGCCTCACAAGTAAGGCTGGTGGGGAAAAGAGACAGGGTGGCCCCTCGGTCGTGCAACTCCCTCCCTAGCGACATCAGATCAGCCCCCTCCCTACTAGTCTTCAGGAAGAGAGTCAAAACCTCGCTCTGAGAGCAGGCTTTTGAAAATTAGGACAATGCAGTATTCTGAATTTAGAATTATGTGCAATTTGACCTTGGATTGGCCTTAGACCTTGTACTCTGGATGGTGTGTTTTTAACTTTGAATGTATTTTAACCATTTTAAATATGTTGTAATTTTAAACTATTTTAAGGTGAATTTGTTGTTTTAGGCACTGTGTATGTGCCATTGTAAGCCGCCTTAAGTTCCCCCTGCTGGGGTAGAGAAAGGTGAGGTATAAATATGGCAAATATTTAGACATACAGCATATATAGACAGACACAGAGGCAACTCATGACCACTCAGTCAATAGTGATTTAATGCAGCTGGCTACTAACCAGCTGCGCCACTGCCCAGTTCTTATGAAGCCAGCAAGTTGAAAAATTAGTCTAATGTTTGAAAAATAAGTGGTAGTAGGAAATCTGAGTTTTGAAATTAAGTACTAGAGGTGAGACATTGATATATTGCACACATTGGAAAATATTTGCTTTTCGACTTTGAATGACTTGTGCTAAGACCTTCTCTAGCCTGCTGTGTGGAAGTTGAATTACAGTTTGTCATAACATGGGCTTTTAAAATTAATTAAACAATTATCTCAAACAAAAACCTGCCCTGGCAAGCAACCATCAGTGATTGTTTCTGCAAAGATGTAGGCACTTAATTTTCAATAAAGCGATCTTATTTAATAACCTTGTATGAGTAGAAAAAGAAATTAAAACAACTGTAAAGTTGCAAGTCCTATAAACTACATGGCCCAAAGTTTTGGATTATGTTTATTCAGTATAAATGTTTTTCTTGGTTGCAAATCAGTTAGTATGCACACAGACTTTTACCAGAAACAAGTGTTCTGAAACTGATCCCTGTTTTGAATTCAATCTATGATAGAAATTACTAAATTGTTTCAACTGCTTTCCATTAAACTATCGAGACTTGCTAGTTCTATTTTTTAATTATTTTATCAAAGATAAGTTAATAAAACATATATAGAGTCTTCTTGAACATTACATAATGTTCAGTATCTGCGGTTAATTTGTAATACATTTAATTGATTACATCCTGAGTTAGCTGTTCTCCATAACTTTCCAGGCAACTGTCTTTTTCCTCTTTCAGATTTCCACCTAAAGATTTTTCCCAAATTAGGAAAATTACTTGAAGGGAAGAAATCAGGGTTGTTTTCTCTGTTCTCTTACATGAAATGTGATACTGATCCCTGCCAGGATCATTGCTCTGAATAAGGAGGGCTAGTGATACATGTGACCAAGGATACTAAATCCCCCAAGCAACTTGACACATAACTGTCAAATGAATAATGTTGTTCAAGCATTCTGACCATTCTCCAGCACTCTGTGCAACTGTCAAAATGACTCCAAACTTGCTGGTTAAGATATTCATAAGTATCCCTTTATTAAAGGCAATTAATGATGGCTGACAATACAGATCATAGTAAATAATTATTAAAGTTTCTGTAGAGATACAAAACACATAGTTCAGGTAAACAGTGGAACTAGTAGTGCTGTTGCAGAAACTCATTCTTGGTAATGATGAGATCAAGGTTAAAGTGAATTTCTTACTTATTTAGGCGATCTCTTGTAGCCTGAGGATGATGGTCGTCCAAGTGTGGTGTTTTGGCGGTGGGTCCGTAGGTGGCTGTGGAGCCTGATTCTTGATCCGCATGTTTTCCTGCAGTGAGAACATCGGTTTTCAGGTTAAAGGTGGTCATGATGAGGGTTGGCTTGACGCGCCTTCCTCTTGGCCTGTTTCTCCCTTTCGGCCTCCATTTGTGCCTCTTCAAATTCTGCAACACTGCTGGTCACAGCTGACCTCCAGTTAGAGAACTCAAGGACCAGGGCTTCCCAGTTCTCTGTGTCTATGGCACCGTTTTTAAGGTTGGCTTTAAGCTCATCTTTAAGTCTCTCTTTCTGTCCACCAACGTTACGATTCCGGTTCTTGAGTTGGGAGTATAGTAACTGCTTTGGGAGATGGTGATCGGGCATTTGGACAATGTGACCAGTCCAGTAGAGTTGATGGCGTAGGAGCATCACTTCAGTGCTGGTGGTCTTTGCTTCTTTCAGTGTGTTGACATTTGTCCACCTGTCTTCCTAAGAGATTTGCAGGATTTTTCGGAGGCAACACTTGATGGAATCCTTCCAGGAGTTGAGTGTGACGTCTGTAGACAGTCCACGTTTCGCAGGGTTGGGAGGACAATATATTTATAAACAAGCACCTTGGTATCCCTATGGATGTCCCGGTCCTCAAACACTCTCTGCTTCATTCAGAAAAATGCTGCACTAGCAGAGCTCAGGCTGTATTGTATTTCAGTGTCAGTGTTGACTTTTGTGGGGAAGTGGCTACCAAGGTAGCGGGAATGGTCAACATTTTCTAAAGTTACACCATCAAGCTGTATTTCTGGCATTGCAGAGGGATTGGCTGGTGACTACCACCAGCAGTAGACACCAGCCAGTAAAGTGAGAGGCTGAGCTTCTCGTATGCTTTAGTAAAGGTGTTTAGAGTGGCTTATAGGTCTTCTTTTGAATGTGCACAGACTATATTATCATCAGCATATTGGAGTTCTATAACAGATGTTGTGACCTTGGTTTTGCCTTTAGTCTGCTGAGGCTAAACAGTTTGCCATCTGTCCAACAGATTATTTCCACTCCGATAGGAAGCTTCCCATCAACAAGATGAAGTATCATAGCAATGAAGATGGAAAATAAGGTTGGCAATAACACATCCCTGTTTGACACCTGATTCCATCTTAAATGAGTCACTTTGGGAGCCATTGCTGTCCAAGACTGTTGTCATTGTGGAGGAGCCACAGTATGTTCACAAATTTGTCACTTTTTTGGAGGATGGTCCAGAGAGCACTGCGATTCACTGTGTCTAATGCATTTGCAAGTTCAATGAATGCTATGTGCAGAGGTTGATTTTGTTTCCTGCATTTTTCTTGGAACTGTAGGGCAATGAAGATCATGTCCACTGTTCCTCTGGAGGGGTACAAGCTATTCTGGGATTCTGGGATGGGGCCTTCTGAAACAGGTAGAAGGCGGTTTGCAAGGATTCTTGCAAGGATTTTCCCAGTGGAGGTTAGAAGGGAGATAACTTGATAGTTTTCGCAGTCTGTTCTTTCCATCTTTTTGAAGAGGGTGATGATGGTGGCATCCTTGAAGTCTGCTGGGATTTTCTCAGTCAACCACACTTTTTCAATGAGCTGGTGAAGTTGTGTCAGCTCAGGTCCACCCTATTTAAAGATTTCAGCAGGGATCCCATCAGGTCAGCTGGGTTTGTTATTTTTTGTTGGCTGATGGCATTGCTTACTTCTTCCAAACTAGGCAGTGCTGCAAGATCATCCCTGGTTTGATGTTGTGGGATTTGTGAGATAACCTCTTTGGCCACATTGAAGCTGTGATTCAGGAGGTTTTGGTAGTGCTCTTTCCAACGTAGTGCAGTTGATTTTTTTTTAAAGTGAATTTCTTACTATGGATGCAAGAAGGATTATTTATTCATTTTTAGCTTCCCTGTAGTTTCCCATGCACTGTAGTTTTGTGCATGATTACTTCTGTCAGCACTGACTATAGATATCCACAAGCAAAAAGAGAGATTTTAA